GTACCAGACCAAATTTGTTAGAAGTTCCATAGTTGCAGAGCAGAAGGAAACTGCACCTGCATAATCATCCTCATTCTCACAAGGGCCCCTGACAACTAACCTGTGACTTATAGTACCAAAAGAGAGCTCTATTTTTCCATAACTGAAGAAAAGCAAAAACAAAACAAAACAAAACAACACCAACCTGTGAAAAAAATGGGTTTATGATTTTTCAACTTTTCCAAAAAAAGACAACCTGGAGAAGAGATTACCTACAGCGACATGGAACACATTTCAAAGCGATTGGCTTAACTGGCCAATTATGCTCTTTCTCATGGTGTGATCAGTTTAACCAGATTCAGCAAGCACTATTTTAAAACCACCCTATTTTGCAGTAGAACATGGATGCACATACGTAAGTACATGAAAACAAATTCTGCTTTGCACTGATCAACATACTTCTTTGGGTCTCCTTCTGCTTTCTGGAAGTTTTCCATTAGCATATTTGGCAAGGGGTCCTGCCTTCATAACCTGTATATCAAGCTCTTAACTGTCCTCAGGCCAGTTATTCCCCCATATTAACTCCATTTAGGAAGTGGGCTTCGTATTTAGTGCTGGGCCATCAATGCCTTTGCTACCAAGTTTACTGCTCAGTGACTGTTTTACTGTACTGCCATGGTCTTAACCCTGGCAAAGTCGCTAGTTTCCACTGCTTCAGTACCAGACATGCCAGGCTAGTCAGAGATTTGCAGTGGTTTAAGCTGTTAGTTCACAACTGAAGGTTAAATTAGAGACACTTATTTTTATCAGAAGCAGATTATTAGTTTAGTCAGTGGTAATACAAACACACACCCCCCACATACAGACAGATGAACTGCCATGGGATAAACAGAGTATGAGCTTGATTATACAAAACTCCCTTGCATTAAGCACGGGGAAGGAGCACAGTCATGACTAGTTGCTGTGGAATAGGAAGTGTAGCAAGTTCACAGCTTTTACTAATTATACAGCACAAACTCACTCGCCTGCCCACATGCTCCAGGCAATTACTCTGCAATACTACACTGGTTTTTAAACTGCACTAACAGATGGCGGGTGTGCGCAGTGCTGCTGTCTTTCAAGGTCTGGATTCTCAAATCAATGGCTTTACTCACAAAGAGTTGAGTTCAGAGCAGTCCTCCAGTGCTTTCTGGCCACCCTGCCTGAAGCCCTACAGATGATCTGTTTATGAAGAGGGGATGGGAAAAGCACTCTTACTGCATTCATTTGCCTGTGGTAATCACTATCATTCAAAAATAGCAAATCTTCAAATGTTTCCACAGATATGCTGGTACAGATGTAGATTTTTCCCTTGACAACAGTGAGCTGTGAGTAAATTCTGGGGCAAAGTGGGGGAGAGACTCAGCTGTTTTGGTATTGACAACCACAAGCTATAAAATCATGACTCAAGCTCTCAAACAAAGAAGAATATTAAAGATCCCCGCCAGACTCCACTACTGTCTATTCTGCCTGAGCTCAGAATGAACAGCAGCACCAAGAGGGAAAAGGTCTGGCATCCAACTTAAGCTGGACTCACTCAGCGAAAACGGCTTGGGACAGGGTGCCTAGAAGGAATGCAAAGACATCAGAGATGAAGTGATTTGTCAGAAGTACTTTAAAACAACCTTTCTGCTGAACAGAAGTCTTGAAAACATTCCCCAAAGAAATCTCCATTGCTGCCAACATGTCATCTGAGGGAACTTTTGTGTTCTGAGGTTTAGGACTGAATCACCTTGTGGGCCTTTTTAAGACGTGCCCATACAAACAATTTGGGCAATTCTATGGTAACTTAAATACATAAACCTCATGATAATTCTTGCTGCTCCATTAAATGACAAGTAAAAAAAAAGGAAAAGAACATTACCTGTCACAGGCACCTTAACAAAACAGCCAGGCCACCTAAACTACCTCCACATTACCTCCTTACACGATTAAGTGTCCAGAGTAACTTGTGTTGGGAGCAAGAAAAAAAAATAATAAACAAACAAAAAACAAGGAAACTAGCAATGAATACATGCTAGATTTGAAAAGAATGGCAGTTTTCCTACATGCTCTTATGACCCATTTCCTGATTGTGACACCCCCTGCAGGGCCCGCCTCATTGCTTGGCCAGCTGTTCATCCTGACTGTCATCATCCCCCCCAAGAAAAACCCATATAAAGATGATCCTATTCTCCTGAATCCCACAGCTATTCCCAAAGTTGCAAGCAGCAGCAGCAAGACTTGTAGACACAGGAGAACCCTCCAATCCATGTTCATGTTTTGCTTAGCTAGCCCTAGAGGTTGAGCAGGCATGTACGTTGGGTTTTCCCCTTCCCTAAATGGAAGTTTAGATACTGATGGAGTAGATAGCAATTACCAAAAGACTTTTTTGACCATATTCAGTAACAGAAGAGGATTCATGTACATTGTATACGAGTGCATGTGCTTCTTATACCTGTTATTTAGAGATAAACATCATAAACCTCCAGCCTTCCATCATCCTCCTCTTTCCTCTTAGAGAAAAATCCTTCAAGTTTTTCACTATGCTCATCCAAACCTTCCAAGAGAAAACAGATACCTACATAAACAAAAAAAAGTTGTAAAATTGTGTTTCATGCATGGTTTATTTATAAATCTCCTTTCAGCAGTGTGATTAAAAAACAACTAACCAATCTTCATCCATCATTTTGCCTGGGCAAACAGGAACATCTGGCAAAAAGATGCTGAAAGCAGCCAGACTGCAGGACATTCTGGTCACTCTTAATAGGAGTTTCCACAACTCGGAATCAGAAGTTTCATGAATATACAGCTACTAAATCCTTCATTCAGAGTTCAGCAAACTTCAGTGACCCTGATGAGCACGGCAGCCTCAGCATAGAGAAAAGGCAGGTAGCCTAATCTTAGAAAATTAAAAGCTTTGAAGATTAAGAGCAGGACCTTGAAATGACCCAGAGAAGAAAAAAGCAAAAGAGTAAGTGGTTTCTGTGGCCAGTCTCTCCCAGACAGCAGCTGCTGCTAAATCCCAGTGTTTGCAGCCAGCAACTCCATCTTAGGAGCACAGGAGTACTCCAGCTCAGCACCTTGGTCTCTACCAGGGAAAGGATCAGAGCTGCAGGGCCCAAAAATGGAGTATGCTGGAAACCTGGGATGGAGACATTACTGGCTGCATTTGCTATCCTACGTCTAGAATATTCTGTTTTTCTGGATAACATCACAATTTGCATTTACCCCAAAGTGACATTCCCAAGTCACATGGGAAAGCTACCACACAGATTTCTAAAGTTCTGATTGTTCTTTATCATCTTACTGTTCTCTTGCAACAAATTTCACAATTCAGAGGATGCCTGCACACACACTCAAAGTACACAGAAACATAACCTGATTTTTCAGCTCAAAGTAACACAGAAGAGAGACAATTCCAAGCAGAACAGTTAGTCCTACATGCTTTGTTTGATTGTTTTATTTTTTTTCCCCTAGGATAGCCACCACAGAAAAAAATAGAATCACATTTCAGGAACAATTCATGTAATTGATTTAATGTGCCCAAAGGAAGCAGAAAATAAAACAAGGTAGAAGGTAGCTTGCTATATTCAAGTGCAGAGTTTGTCAGGAAAAGCAACAACTGATCTCTCTCTTGCCAAACTGTTCAGCGATGCCAATGTGGGGGATCAGAAGCAATGAAGTTAAAACTACTAGAATTAGCAAGGAGATATTGGTGCATGATACTACTACAAAAAAAAAAAAAATCAAAAGAAAGTTTTTCCTCCATCCTTACTGCTTTCAACTAGTTATAATGTTAGCTGGAAATAAGAACCTGCTGTTCTTTGAAACAATTTTAATCACCTCTACATAAAACTGAAGACTAGATCAACTTCTTTATTCAATGCTTCTATGGTACAGGAAGGATCAGTTCAGTTGTATTGGCTACTATGTCTATTGAAGAACTCTCTTTAAATAATTTCTAACAGAACTGTTTCTTTACCTGCCAATAATTACAAAACATGCCCAAAACTGGTACATAGGAGGACATACACAAATGCATACATAGGTATTGCTAGCATTTTATTAAAAATTCTCCTCTACAGAAAATAATCTTCAGAGGCACAGTTTAAATTTGTAAGAGGTATTCATCAAACAAAAGCAAGACAGCTATCACAAAAAGCAAAGAAATCAGTATAAGCAAAAGGGCTGCATCACTTAGTGCTAACAAACCCTGACCAATTCACAATGCAGTTAATTTCCTTCTGGCAGAGCTGTATTACTCACATGCATGAAGTCCATGCCAAAGCACACCCATAAAATTAGCTATAGCTATCCAGTTCAATATAGCAACCAGGCAGGAAAGGTTGTTCTAGACTGTTCATTTTATTTCTTAAACAAGACAATCACCTAAAAGGCCCAACACAAAAAAAAAAAAAAAAAAAAAGAAAAACCACAAAAAAAAAAACACTATTCTAAAAAGCAAATTTTACACATGCATTCACACAGATACACATTGATGCTAACTGTTGTTTTCACTTTCACTTCTCAGAGATACACCCTGGCTGGCTAAATCAATACCAGGAGTAAAAAAGAAATTGGTACAGGTCTCTTCTCCAAGAATGTAAGGGGAAGACTTAAATCCCAAGGCACAAAGAAACTGAACTTATAAATTCAGGAGCAATACTCCAATATCATCTTCTACACCAACAATTGTATCAGAAAGATCTCAAGAGTTCCCAGAACCAATCACCCTCATTTATTAAGTTCCAAAGAACTATAGAAATGTTAGACTAGTCACGACAGTCATCTGGACGGATTTCTCACAGTATGCTGTCTCCTTTTAGAGAAACCATAAGAGTGAATGTAGATAGAAGTCATAGAACTTTTAATCACAAAAAGGGGGAGATCTATGTGCATACAGAGGAAATTCTGTTTCTGTGATGACTTAAACATACCAAGTTAACCACACACTGAAACCTCAACCCTTATTTATCTAAATTTAGTAAACATTTACTTACCCAGCATCCTCCTGGAAGCCTTCCAATTCATCTCTTTGTTCTGCTAGGGTGGACTCTAGATCCAGATAGGTACCATTGTGAGACAATTGCAGGGTGCAGTCATCGAGCTGTAGAACAAGATTCAGATCGTTAGATTACAGCAGTCATTCTCTCTAATATACCTCTAACATAGTCTTCTCACTTTCCAGGTCCACAGACAAGATGTTGCAAATCCAAACTATACATTGGGAGTCCCTATTCACTAGACCTTGTTTGGTCACAACAATATCAACACAAACAGCAGACACAGAGAAACTTATTTATTTCAACATACAGGAGATCTGGCAGAGCTCATCACAGTGCCTTTAGAATCCTGCAAGCAAAGTTAAGTTCACTTAAACATGGTGTTTAGGATATGAATTACTGTTCTCTGTTCTTACAGTATATTTAGGTAGAGTTTCTGGACCTCTGGATGGAGGTGGAAGGAAGAAGCTGCTGCTTAATGTGTTACTAAACGTCCTTAACATGGAAGGATACAGCCAAGGGACAGTACAAGGTGCGCCAGCCAAGAGATAGGGCGCTGCAGTGATGAGGAATACAGTCAACCAAAACCCAGATTTTCTTCTTTTCAAGCAATGCACTAACCGGCCTCAGAGGTTGCAGGGGAGACCTTCCAAAGCACTGGGGGAAGGACTGAAGACCCCTACCAACCTCCTATAAGGGTACTGAGTAACCAAAGACCAGATCTGAAAGCAGGAACCTGCCTGCAGTGACACTGAAGCGGGGGAGAACAATTAACAAGCCCTCTTTATTTCCATCCTGTCTTCACTTACCTTTGAGTGCTCCATTAATTGTTCCAGCTGTTCTTAAAAAAAGCCAGGTACAATCAAAGATAGAAAAGAAATGTTTAGTGGGCAGCTAGTCACAGGAGAAGGCCTAGGAAGATCCACTGTAAAACTGATTGCACAGGAATTCAGAATAATTACTGGATCAAGAGGGATAACTGAAGAAGCCTGAGGGAAGAGCTAGAAAGTACTATGAGCTCCTCTCTCGCCATGAGATAACCCTGTGTCAAATCACAAGGTATGAGGAAAAAAAGCCTTCCCAGGACAGGGAAACAAGAATACGTTCACCAAAGGGCAGGTGAAAGTCCTACCTCGCCACTAGTGAGGCAAGTAACCATCTGCTTATTGAACCCATCTCAGAAGCAAAGAAACTGCCATCACTGAGCCCACTGAACAGGCTGCTCTCAACCTTGGTGTGTCAACACAGCATTAGGCACCCTTTTGTAACTAGTTCCATGTTCACAAATATTGTAAGCCCCAGATGTGTTGTGCTACTACATTCAAAATCCAGTACTGTAGCCAAGCAGTCTCAGACTGACCTGCCAAACAGAAGATGTTTCATTCTTCTGGATTTGGCAAAACAAACTGACAGGTCCTTTGCATGTCTCCGTCTACCAAAAGGCCACTGTGGTATAAATGGCACATTCCTGCTGCAAAGGCCACTTTGAGAATAGGATGTTTAACACTGTACTTCATACCGATCTTCTGCCACAGCCAGTAGTCAGCAACTCTCTGAAGCAAGGGCCTGGAACAGCCAATGACTCAAGGAAAGGAAATTACAAACCTTTTATCATATCCATGGTTTTGTCTTTCTGCTCTTTTTAACACTAGGAAAGAAAATCAATTGAGAATCCATCTTTGATGAATTACCTCTTTTAACTTCACCTCAAATTTATGGTTTCCAGTACCTGTTCAGGAAAGCACGATAAGCAGCCACACTTCTTATCCTCCAGCAATCAATACCAAAACTTAGTCATCCAGTTTCCTGTCACTGATTTATATATGCAAGAAAAAAAACACAAACAGCCTTTGATTATTCTGGATTAGGTACACTGAAAATACTACAGTAGAGCCTATTTGTAATTAGCAAGTGATAGAGCGTGACTTTTGTGTTAGTCCACACCACTGTGTTTTGCACTGCTTGCAATCTGAAAGAAGTTTATCCTCTGGAGAAAGGGTAGAGGGTGAAACTAAAGTTGTATTTCAATTGTGTTCTATTCTTTCTTCCCCACCGTGGGGAAAGAGTAAGTCATCAAATAAGGCGACGTAAGTTTTTACTCTGACTCCTGGGAATTAAAGAAAGCAAAGAACCTCCAAGCACAGCCCTCTGTCACTAAGAATAACAACAGTATTACTACTCTATCTTTCTAGTTACAAAGGATATTATTAACCTATGCTAATTCAAAATGCATTCTTTAGACAAGAAAGACTAAATACTACTCTGGGAAACTTTTTTCCCAGTAGCCCAGGGTATCTAATGAAATGCTAATTTATTCAAAGTAATGCCAAAAGGCAAACTCCAATTAGATAAATGTTCTGCTGTCACTATGGAGATGAGGAAATTTGCCCACAATTTCCAATTATACTGAATAATTAGGGAAAAGGCACTGTGCTTTACTAATATCTTATGACTTTAGTATATAAAAAACACAAGAACAGGAAGAACTTCATGTACGAAATAAAGACTAGCACATTCTACCTATGTTTATCTCATCTCCATAGTTTCAGCTGCGCATAGTATTCATTCAGGCTTCAAAGCACTGCACATTTTACGCTGTATCCATTAATAGGAGTTTAGGGTAATGAGAGAAATGCAGTGTCTTTTATTTCCATTACTTAACACTGTGTCTTGCCGGAATTATTTTGATTCTCATGCATGTGTACAACAGAGATGGAAGGGACCAAAACAACACTTTTTAAAGGAGCACAGGTATTAAGGCAATGGAACTCAAATCCTCCTTATATAGATCATTTTTCTACTTTGCCTCTAAGCTTCATTTGCACACATTTTACAGGCAGAATACAAGATAAGAAGCCACTCTGTGAATTATTTTTAATTAGTAAATTGCCGGCCTTTGTCAACACAAAGGATGGCCGATGTTCACTCATTAGAGCTTATTAGTAACAATTCAAGATTATGGTCTCTCCCCTCTGGGCAACATTAATGCCATGTATATCTACTACGCATCACTTCTCCCATCTCTGGAGACCCTCAAAAATGGCCTCATGTAGTTCTTTCATGACACTCTTCCCGGTGATCACAATGCATGTTAAAATCCCCACTAACACCATCTTCTTTTAGGACAATCAAAAGGCAGAATCCATAAAGACAGTCTTTCGAAGAAGATTTAACTGAGCTGTTTTCCATAATCACAAATGAGACTGCTATTCAATTTTTTATAAATTAATTCTGTTTATTTCACTTTGTTCTTCACAATTCTGTGAAGAACTCTTCAGTGTTCCAGTTGTTGAGGTAGGCCCTCAGAAGAAGAGGAACAGCTTTGCCTGAGAAGCCAGAGCCAAACAAGTGTAGATATACAGCAGAACTTCAGGACAGCATTATCTACTGTCTGTAATCACATGTACTTCTCTCCTGCAGATTCTTGCTTCATTCACTTCCCGAACACCTTCAGGAAGCAAGACAAGTTCCACAACATTGTGCAGGAGGTGTTCAGAGTAGAAACACCTTATGCTTTCAAGGTATGTGATCGTATCACTACTGACTAAATCATTATATGTCCACATCAGGGAGGGGGGGTATCACAGAATCACAGAATACCAGATTGGAAGGCACCTAGCAGGACCTAGACTAGATGGCATAACACCCTGCCCAGGCAGATCTTAAGCGTCCAACTCTGGGGAACCCACCACTTCCCTGGGGAGATCATTCCAATAGCTAATTGTTCTCATTATGAAAAATTTTCTTGTGCCAATCTGAATCTCCCCTGATTCAAGGTTACATTCACAATTTTTATTTTGTGTACAATAAACACTCATCTTTGGTATTGCACTCATCTCTATGTAAATACTTAAGGGATTTTTTACAGTGAAACAATGATAATCTCAACAGAAGAAATTTTATTAATGTCCTGGTGCATCATCATCACAGAAACTCTTTATATAACCATGAAATCAAGTTTTCCCACGGAAAAATGGAAACGTAAAGAAACATAGAGAAAATGTAAGAAAAATTAACAGGAAGTACAAAAAAGGCCAAGTAATACTTATGCTGTTAGAAATTTATACTTACACTGTTATAAATTTCACTGAGAAGTTGAGCACAATTAAACTTAAATTTAACTGAACATTTAAAAGCAGAGCTTCCTACTGCCTCATCCTTTGCTATTTAACCTGTTACAGAGTGAAACCATACCACACAAGAGGAGAAGGGTGTCCTGGTTTCAATTATAACCAGAAACAGATAGAGCAAGTTCAGAGGTGCAAAGCTTGATCTTTGCCCCACCTCGGGGGTCATCCCCACCTCACCAGCACCCGCAGAGCCCTCAGCGTCAACACGGCTGTCTGTCACATGAACACACAGGCTGGGAAAAGTTAAGCAACCAACTCACGCAAGTGTTCCTTACAGGTACTCAAGAACATAGGGCAGGAGCTTGGCTTGTCATCTTCTTTCGCATGTAATCAAATCCGTCCAGTAGTGGCTAGTCCCTGAACCTTTAGGGTCAGAATAATTTGTACTACAAGGCCATCAAGCTTAAGAGGACTCAAACAGTTCGATAACAGTATACGAGTGATGACTTTTTTCTCATTGCAAGCACTGACCCAAAGAAAGGGGTCACACACATTTCTCTTCATAAAGAAGCCCTTGTTGCTGTGCAACAGGAAAGCTCATAATTTCTCAGTTTCAGAGTTAAACCATATCACCAAAAGGAGCAAGGAACAGCAGGGAAAAAAAAAAAGAACAGCAGCAAGAAAAGGTGACTAACAGCCAGTTATCCAATGCCAATAAATGACCACTGCCACTTTCAGAAACTATTTAAATTAATAGAAAGAAAAAGAAAAAAAAAAAACAGCCTGAATTCAGTTACTGTTTTCATCTACTGCATTTAGCATCCTATAATATACGAGAAATGCCTAAAACCAGAGGGTGGTGGGTGTGAGGAGAAAAGAACAAAACATATGATTCCAAACACATGCAACCTGCACGTCCACCCACAGACTGAGCACAACCACCTGCTCCTCCTTGCACGTATTTGTGAGCACCCCACATAAACACTAGCCTTCTCACTTCAGCAGCCCAGTGGGTAGAAATTCAACACAAAGGC